ATTACTATTTATTTTTCTGAAATTCTTATGCACCAAATTAAAAATTAGAATGAGTATAGTTTCTTGGTTATTGAAATGTGTATACTATGATACTAGTTGATTAAAATTGGTTTTACAAAATAGATCTATTGTTAATTTGAAACTAATATTTAAAATTCTTGGATCATTTTGACAAATAATAAATGTTAATAATTAAAATGTTCAAATCACCATACCKGCTATATTTTGCAAATCCATTATCATAAACCTATTAYATTCGGCACACAAAATTAAAAAACTCAAAACCTACTCATTTGATTTTAATACGTCAAAACTTATAACTATTAGAAGAGTTATCTGCTAGAATTTACAGTAAAAAAGAGGGGGGGGGGCTTCATTAGAAAAAAGAAGTTTATTTATCCACTGAACGCATTAAAAATTCAAAAATATTGGAATACCTAACAGTTTTATTAAAGAAAAAATTTGGTGAGCATACTTGTTGAATCGTCCTGTAGAGAAACACTAATTTCCAAGATAAATAAACCAACAATTTTTTTGGTTCATTAGTATTCATTTATTTTTAACAACCAGATATAAAATTTCTATCTTCACTAAACACTTAACATATATTTTTAGACCAAGTTAATWAGTARATAAACAATAGTTCTCACTCGAACATAAGACTGAGCGATAAAGAACTCAAATTTTAAACAAGAGTAAAATTATAGCATTGTTGGGGTTAACAATATCAATTGGGTTAGTGAATAGGTATATTTCAAATAATGCTGCATTTATAAGTTCAACATAATATCAATGCATATTATTTAGACTTAAAAGTCTGTTAGGTTTTCAAATTTTAACATTTAAATCTCCATTCCAAATATAAATTTTTAAAAATCCTTAATATTGTGAGTTATTACCATAATATTATTACATTTGATATTATTCAAAGTCCTACACAAATAGCCAATATAATTATTATTATTTGTTATGAATGGCTTGAGTCTACTTTTCTAATTGCGCACATATTACATGCATCAAATGCATCTAATTGAATTATTTACCATAATTGTACAAGTGCGTGCATACCTGACCAGTTGTATTAAGATCTTTCAAATTGTTCAAACAAACAGAAATGTTTGTTTTCTTAATCAACTTGAAGAATTCTTTGTTGCGAGCGTGAACCTTTTATTATTCACGACATATATGTATTAAAAATAATAAATTATAACCATGATAGGTTTAATAAAAAATACTTACATTTTTTGAAAAATCAATCAAATGCTTTTCTCTTTCCACTTTTTGTTGTACTTTACATGGCAACACCTTAACACCATTTTGCTGAAAACACATTATGAATAGCATAACAACTAGCTTAATTTACAATATTCATACTACTCACTTGGATATAGGTTTTTTTATTTTCTGCTACAATAACTGGGCTAACTTTATTTTGATTTTTAATAGGATGATCGTTTTCTTTAGGTTCCTGCCTGTATATTGGGGCCACTTCACCAACAGGTATTTCTCCTTTCGACTTTTTCTTCTTTTGTCTGGCAAGCCATCCTCTGGTGTGTTTCTGTAATGTTAATGCTCCCCATGACATTTGTCTAGCTAACACAGTTTCCTTATAATGTTTCATTGCTAGCCACCGCCGAACACAACTTTGTACAAATATTATGTGACGTAGCTAAGGACAACAAACAATAAGATATATTAGTATATCAAGAATACAAATATACCAAAAATATATTATTTCTTACTTGTTTTTCATGTAATTTAGTTAAGTGCTCAATATGATAATACTTTAAGAATACTTTTGTTTTTCCAATTGCCCAACCATCTAATTTTAACTTGACCAACAAATGTCTACAATTATCTCTAGTTGGTGGAACTTTCTCATACAATCGAAACCCTAAAATTGAATACCTAAAAATTGAAAATTAATAACGGATATACATCATWATTACTATTCATAATTATTACAATGTAATTATTAAAATTATTTTAAAGAGTATAATTTACCTGTTTATAAAATCTTTAAATAGTAGCCTATGTGAATATCCATTTCGTCTTATTCTAATCGTTTCCATGACTCCACTACAGCGTAATTGTGTAACGACTTTAAGAGGATCAAATTGTTTTGGTTGTCGTTGATCATTTGGTTTGATACAACGAACAAACCTAGGCAAGCTTATACCAGAATTGTTACAGCCCATACGATGTAACAGTTCAGCTAATGAATGTCTAAAATATGTTGCTGCAGTTTGCTGGCCTCGAGATTGTGAAGCAAGTCCAACTAACCCTGTAGATGARTCCTGAAATTAGATGAATATTATTTATATACTTCATATTGTTACAAATTATGAAATTAAAATATAAGTWTTATTACTTGAGAATAAAGATTGCCAGTTTTGGTAACTGGACTTTGGAATAATGCTCGAACAGTTTTATTGCTGGATTTTCTTAATACCTGAATAGCTTCTATAGCTAACAGGTGCCTATTCTTTTCTAGCATCCCCGAAGCTTGGTAAGTAACATTGCCAGCAAAATGTTTCACTTCAAATTGTAAAGCATTTGATTTTGGCCGTACATAATAATTACATTTGATGTTGCAATGGAATTTTTCTAAACATTAAAAACAATATAAGACATTATAGGAATTTACATAAATCATAAATTTGGCAGATTAATACTTACCAACTAGTGATCGATCTGTTGCTCTAGGAAAACGACTTTCCTCGTCAAGTAATGCCAGTAAGCCCATTGGTCTACTTACAAGCATATCTAATACAGGTCTGTTGTCACAAAACCCAACATGTTGAACAGGGACACCCTCTGATTCGTATTCCTAAATATATATAAATTTACATAGTTATAGTACTGGTTATCATAACCATAAAGGAATTTAATTTAGTATACTCACAGCTTGTTCCAAAGCAAAAACATGTTGGTTAAAAAAATATTGAAGTTGCTCATTAGCAATATTTATACAAAGTTGTTCAAAAGAATTGTACGTAAAATTTTCAAAACCGAAAATATCAAGTATTCCTATCACATTGTATTCTCCTCTGAAAAAAAAAATTATATATTTACCTACTTACTTATTATTTAATATTTCCTGATAAGTTCCATTACCTGGTATTATAAAAAGACAATAAGCTATTGATTGAGTTAACCAACCAATCAAATAATCGACTGTACAAAGCCCGGGCAATTGCATCTCTTGTAGCTACAGCTTCTGATACAGAATTATTCCTTTGAATAATCTCACCTCTTGTTACTACACTGTTAACACTCAAACATTCTAATAGATCTGAACTTTCAATGTCTAACAAACACGAAGCTAAAAAAAAGATACTTAAGTATATAATTTGAACTTATAGATTTTATTTAAAAAATTGATGATAAAATTCAATTACTTCTATGGATTGGTGTTAAATCAATAACAGTACTTTTGTTGTCTGTATTGTTATCAGTGATGATTTCTCCAAATTCTATATCACCCAAGTGCAAGATCGCTGCTAAAATGCAGTATATAGAATTTACTTCTTCGTCTTTGAAACCAACTTGTTCAAAAGCATTTTTCAGTTGAGCAAACTTATCCACATTATTCTAAAACAAAATAAACATAATAAAATATTTAAATATCTACTTATATAAAAGACTAAATTAGGTAAACTAATAACCAGAAAAAAAAAATCCTTACTTGTTTTGTTTTGTTGTCTTGACGGTCAGATGGAAGATAACTATGCATTTGCCGTAGCTCACGATCCAAATGAAACTCTTTGAGCCTTTTATCGTGTTCTAATCCGTCGTAAATATAGTAAAAAGCATGGAAATTACTCTCTCTACTGCAAGAAAAATAACAAAATGTTAAAATGTATTATAGTTATAAAAACAAAATGGAAAATTTACTTCGCTTGTTGAATGACTCTTGACTGTTCTAGTAGGTAAACTGACACTCTAGCTCCTGTCAATTGGCCGCTTTTGGTCATGCTCAGCTCCAAAAATTTAMCGAATCTTGAAGAATTATTATTGATTCCAGTTCTAGCATTTCCGAATGCTTCCATAATTGGGTTCATCTGGAGTATTCTTTGTTCTAGATTTCTGTTTGGTGCCTGTGATTAATATTTATTTAATACTGATTAGTTTATGTTTTTTGGAGACTGTAAAATTTATTTCAAAACCTAAACATGCTTAGAAAACTTTWAAAAAATCAATTATGTTTTAGTAGAATAATGTAAGAAAAAGTACCGACAAAGCAAGCATTTTGTACCTACATGGATATATCATATTATATTGAAGTGGTAAAATATTTAAAAATAAAATACTAATGAATAATGATGTCAATCAGAGAACTTTATAAACATTATAATTTTCCTACATTACACTTAATCTTTTTTACATCACACATTTGAAAGCATTAGTTCTACCTCACTAACCCTCTTATACCTGGAACTATAATGTAGACTCCCAGGTTATTAAATATGTACTATTATTTAAATCTCTCTAACAATTTAGTAAGAAATAAACTCCTTCAACATTACATAATATATGATTCAATGGTTATAGGACATTTAGACTCACCTTGCCAAGGTACACGAGTTGTTTGAGCAACAGGTTACCAGATTCAGTTTTTCCGGCACCACTTTCTCCACTGATMACTATGGATTGGTTGGCCTTTTCATGGAGCATAAATTGATATGCTGAATCAGCTATCGCAAATATGTGAGGTGGATAYGCTGCTCTCATTTGGTTACAGTATTTCATTTGCTCCTGCATAGAACTCATATTATACACTTTTTCCATATTGATTAATTAAATACATATGTGTACATTTGTTTCGATAACTCACCGCTGACGTGTATAATGGAAGCGGAGTGAACGGATTTATGGCCAACAGAATATCTCCAATATAAGTATAGATTAAATTCATCTGATATCTTTTTTTCAGTTGATTGACTATTCTCTCCTATATGAACATGATATTGTAAAAGATAAAACATATTTAGTATTTATTGAGATAAGTATAAGTGTAGCAAATTAATAATACATAGTGAATAGGTACTATGCTATWCATCAGTGCTTCTCAACCTGGGGGCCGTGGCTATATGATTGRGGGGCCTTGAAATATTTTTTTTATTTAAAATATTTTTGGTTATTCAGTTATTATATAACCATTATAACCGACCATATGATTAATCATTGTCGATAAAGTCTAATGTTAGATTACTGTTATTAAATAATAATAAAATTGTTATTACATCGGGAAAGTTTATCTCACATTAGAATTATTAGATTACTTTAATTTTACTTACTTTAACTATTTACCAATTCTTTTTTTGTTTATAATATATGTTTTTARGTTTTATACATCTRTACATTTTAATAATTTATTTGTGTGAAATTGTGAAATTAGTGCATGTAAGTATAGTATATCATTGAAAAAAATAATACTGATGACCTTTTTTTATTTATTTTTTGCTTTTACATCCATGGAAGGGAGCCTTGACAGTTTTACATTAAATTTAGGGGGCCCTATAACAAAAAAGGTTGAGAAGTACAGCTATACATGATGTAATATACTATACCTCTGACAGACTGTCTAGCGCGGCTAAGTCATCGACATAAATGGTAGTTGGAGGATTTTTGCGTTTACTTTTTAGTTTACCATGTTTAGTGGTCACGTCAGGATGCTTTTGCACTCTACCGCTGACTTCTCTTTGATATCGTATTTCAGCTTTGAGTTCTTCACGCACCTGTAGATAAATAGATCAGTAGAAAAACATTTTTTAATCAAGAACAAAAAAAAATGTATAGCTAAAAATTAAATTTATTTATTTAAATGATATTCATATAAAGAGTGATTCACCCCCATTTTTATCGTTAATAATAAATTAATTTGGATTTAGATTTCATGATTTTCCGTTGGGTACTTAAAGACTACGTCAAACATGACGTATATTATGTTAAAATCGTTGAGGTGTTCTTCTATTAGGTGCTTATTTAAAGAATTTCTTATGGCGATAAAAACTTTAGTTTTTCAAATAAGAACCATTTTTTTTTGAAACATCTAAATGACTTCGTTAAAAACACGAGTAACTTACAAACTTAAGATAGAGTAAATTCACTGGCATTATTTAATTTGTCACAAGCAATGCATACAGGATCAACTAGTAATATACATATACATATACCCAGGCACGTAGCTAGAAATTTCTAAGGGGGATGTTACTCAAAATTAATTGAAAAAATTATAAACACAAAATTRATAACTTTACGTAGGTATACAATACTTCATCATGATAATCAAATAATCAATAATTAAGAAGTTGTAAACGTTTTCTTACTGCACGCTGCATAAAAAGATACCTATATTAAATCGTGCATGAAACGAGTAATCGATAAAACGTCACAGAACAGTCTAAAATAGTAATTAATGCCGGATCCCGGCTTTAGTGCTTTACATTATTGTTATCGTAATATAAATTAATATACTTAATTTTGATAAATAAGTGTAAATCACGATTTAAGATAATTCGTGCTTATGATGCATCTTTATCTTGATAAAAAAATATTAAGTATACCACGGCTGAGGGGGGGGGTGTTATTACACCTGTAATACCCCCCTGGCTACGCGCCTGCATAAATCTAATATAAATTAGGTATACCGTGATGTGTTAATTAATTGGAAAGTCAGGAACCCTAGTTAAGGCTATAGTGCAATTTTTAATCATTATATGAAATAAAAGTATGAGTTTTACAATAAGTGTCTAAACGACATCCCCATGACTGAAAACATACAATATTTTGCGCAGAGTCAAGRAWTATGAATTTTGTTTTATTGTCTAGCTCAGAGGTATTCAAACTGTGCGTCGCGAGAGTTTGCAAARGGAGCCGCGTCAAAGCACCGAAAACCATCATCATACCCTAGGTCTTGTATAATTATTATAAATATTATTTGCAATCATTATGGAAATGAAAACGACACACCTTACTATCCGACCATTTGAGTTTTATTTCTAGTGCTAAAGTCGCTGTTATTATCACCCATATAACATATTTCCCATATTGTATATCCGTTGTTGTTTCAATTTTTTCATAATAATTTGGGAGCCGTAAAAATATTGTGAACACCCAAAGGAGCCRCGTGCTGAAAATGTTTGAATACCTCTGGTCTAGCTAGCTGTTATACTTTGGAGTTAGGTCAAAATGTTTTTCTGTTAGTTGGATATACGAATTACATATATACTTTATTMATGCATTAAAATAATTACAATGAAAATTCGAGTTACATAAAAGAAATTTAAGTATGACTTTTTCAATTAATTATTATATTCTGTATAATATATGATATAGGTTATGAAACTATCTAAATTACTTATTGTATTATGTTATACAGATTGTATATTTTTATTTCTACTTTAAAAAAAAAAAAAAAAAAAGGTTATGAAATGTACCACACAGCACGTACCCTGTGGATGCACTTTGCCCCGTGAACGACGAAAGGGTCGTGTAGCAGTATGGCGGTGGTCGGTCGCTGTTCGAAATCTTTGATCAGACATCTCGCCACGAAGTGCGTCAGTTTGGGCGCATCCGGTCGAGCCGACAACGGCAAGACGGGTGGCGGTTCCCGCGGTATTTGAAATAAAGCCCTCATCGGATGCAATCCACTGAGCGGAGGATCTCCAGTAGCTAATTCTATGGCCGTTATGCCCAACGACCATACATCACATCTACTATCGTATGACGAATCCCGTTGTTGTTCACAAGCAATCACCTGGAAAATAAATCAAACGATTTATAATTATTTTTATACCAACACTCCAAAATTTTATTATTAATAATACGTCAAAATAGATATATGACCAACAAGAGAACTATATTTTATTGGAAAATAATTGTTTGAAACGCAAGATTTCGGAAAATGTTATCTATTAATCATATTTATCTATATAACTGCAGACCTAGGTACTTGTTGATTTAGAAATGTAGTAATTGTAACCACATATATATCTATATCGTAACCCAATAATATAGGTACATTTTCCACAAAAATAAGAGTCTAAACACGCGTTTCCAACGAAACATTGTTAAGTGTAATTTATTATTACAGTTCTAACCAAATATATTAAATCCAACAGAATATTTGAAATTTACTTATGATATTTTGAAGAATTGTTGTTAAAAAAGAAGGTTAAAAGCCAATGGTGTTAGTTATATCATCATATAGCATATAACTTATATAAAATTTTAAAGTATAAACACTGCAGTATACATATACCATATGATCACATTCTATACAATGAACTATGAAGTTATCTAATATCTATTATGCACCGATATTCATCTAATTAATTAAAAATTGTTGAATACAACATTAATAATTAATGGTAAAAATGTATATACTCTATACTGTATAAGGAGATGGTGTACATAAAAGTGAAATTCGATTAAAAATAAATAGTTTGACACGACCTCTTCAAATTATTTTATATTAAATATTTATATAATCTCCGTGATTGAATTTTCTAATATTTGCATGACACCGTGAAAAAACTGTTTATTAAGATGCTGATTATCATTTTAAAAATTACCACTAAACGTGTATTAAAATTAAATTATAGGAAGTATATATAGTGTTATATGACTTTATCGATAACGTACATAATGTATGCAAAAATACAGTGTTTTTTTATTCACTTTTTCGTCATTAACTCACCTACCACGTATAATGAGTTCACTAAATTTGAACTGAAAACTATAAAATTAATCAAATACAGAAGATGCATTGCATTTCTATAATTTATAAAAATTATGGAAAAAAATTACCGACAGCCTATACGCAATTAATATCCCATACAATAATATTTCGTATTGATTGAACGCTGTAACCTAACTTAATTAAACAATATACATTATTTATAGATTACTATATATTATATACTATATTATTACAATTTATTTACTATATATAGGTATATTATAATATAATAAAACTGATGTTTGTTTTAGTTTTGGTTGAAAGCGCTAATCTCTAGAAGTATGCCGGTCGGATTTGAAAAATTATTTTTGCATTTGATAGCCCAATTCTTGAGAAAGGATTTTAAACTAATTTTTAGTAAAAAAATGTCAGAATGAATGCTAGGCGAAAACGAAGTAATATATAACATGGGTTAGCGATTCAACGCTGCAGTGGATCGAAGGTCAACAATGTCCCAGATGCTCATTAATAATGAATTTAAGACATTTTAAAAAGTGGATGAAGTCTTATTTGATAGTCATGGATCGACCCTACCTGAGTTAAAAATGTATTAAATAGGAGAGGCAGATGTTTACGAAAAAGTTTATTCGAAACATTAGATAGGGTAGTCGTGATCAATAAATTAACCCTAATATTTTTTTTCCAAAAGTTTTTTGTTACTGATAGTGCAGGARCAAAGTTTTAATATTTCCGGCTTGGAGAGAGTTAGAAGTTAGAACATACTTGCGATTTTTATTATATATATATGTTAGCGATAATATATGAATTTCATTGTTTTACAAGTTAATATATAGAATACCATTAGGGTTTTCATTAATACTTAATATGTAAGTTATTCAGTATTCTTTGTTAAGTTGATAACCACCACTGGAGTAAATAACATACGATATTTGTAGCCGTTCTCTTTATATTAAGAAAAATGGATAATACGGATTCTATCACTAAGGATTTTTTTTTTTTATTTATTTATTACTGGTTTGTTATACTAATACAAAGAATTTTTTTTAAAAACTAAATATAGTATATTAAAATAACATTACTTGAAGTCACAGTTTAGCATATTATAATAATAGAAAAATTTATTACAGTGACGTCTCAGATGAAGATATTTGTCTTCGAAGGTATCTGAATCATTATCACTAACTATTGGTCAAGTGTTTTTAAAATGCACATGCCAATAAAAGTGCACCAAAAATGATATATATATGTTTAAGAAAAAGTACTTTGTAACTCCAAATGCCATCCAAAAAATTTGTATACTAATAAATAAAATAAAATAACAATGTACATTGTGTTTGACTTAATATTGATAACTGATTTTTTTATTTTTTTTTTATTGTAAATTGCCAAACATTTTAATGATTTAATAAAATGACGTAAGTAGCACAAATCAAATATTATTATATTATAAAAATGTATACATTTACAACATACTAAATAATTTGTGTTGGAGGTGTTCATGCAAAATTGAGTTGTTAAGTTAGTTATGAAAATGTAAATAATTTTTCGAGTAGGTACTACTACATAGATCTATGAATACATTTATCTTTTCAATGGTAAGTTGAAATCAATGTATGTAGGTACTGTAGTATAATAATAACGTAGAGGTTGTTCACCTACATTTAAGTCGCCGTTTTAATGATCAGCAACGTATGGTATTAATTAATTTTTAATTAAAAAAAAATCTATCTTAGACCTGTTACATATTCCAAAACCGGTCCGTGCATCATTTTACGCGGCATTTATAAGCGCACGTGAGTTTCTCTAAGCCATTGAGGTATTGCGCGCACTAATGATGAACTATTGATGCCCACATTTGAAAATAATGAGATATCAACAAGAATACGTGAGTATGTGAGCAGTTAGTAAATCGTGACAAGATGAATCTTTTTATAAACCATTGATATTTTATCGATGACAAAATAACAGTATGTATCTTATAACATAATTTCGTTTAAAATGTATTATGAAAATATAATATAAACTCCGTCAACCGACAAATTAACAAATTATAATATATTATAATATTATATACCTATACTTCTTATAATTAAATCTATATGGGTACTATATCTGTTACAGAAGGGCATAATTAGCATGTGGGTGGGTATTTGAGCTTTAAAAATAATTATGTCATGGGCGTTTTAAAAGACATCGGCGATTCTGTAGATTACTATTGGGTACAACTGGTACTCGTATGATATTTTATCGAAAACATCATACCTATGACTATAAGTGGTACATGAATTTAAAAGACAAGAAAAAATCGCGAAGACTACGTGATGATAATTTAATACTTTGTTAAGAGTAATAACAGAAACTGTATGGAAATATAAGTGTCCAAGTACTTGTATGTCCAGTACGAAAAACAGGCATTATGCGCATTAAAAGTTGAAAATTGATGAAGGTACCAATGAATGTAATTATTTTGTTAATTTGATTGTTCTCCATAACATTTTACTAATAAATATGTACGATTAGGTCAAGTTTATATTTTGGCACATTAATTCAGTGATTTTTTTACCAAACATCAGTTTATTTTAAGTATAGGACATAGGTATACGGTTGTTACCGTTATACACTTATATACTTGGACATATACACTGAAGTATTTTCGACAACAGAGTAACATGTATAGATACAAGCAAATCGTAATATCGCGCACACGACCTACCTACTTATATAGGTGGGTAGGTATATGCGGTAAACGGCCACGAATCTTTTCATTCTATCTTCGAGGGAATCTTGTGTGCTGACAGTATAGTTATCCACGGTCGATTATATGCGGAGGACATGATGTATTGTTAATATTATTATATTTTATTGTGTAAAATATACACTAGGTATGCGGCAAATTATATTTTATAAAATATAGCTGTTCCTATCGGCTATCATACAGACGCGCATCAGTAAGGCAGCGAAAGCGATGAGCAATTTTCACTCAATTATCCAATCAGACAGGTTCGAGAGAACTGCATTGTAGCCGATATTTAAATTGAACGGCACGCACGCGATATGAATCATGAAAGACGTATTTTAAATTTTTTACAGCGGTGGCGGTAAAAAAAACAAAATACTACCACGTCTCTCGTCGCTGCAATAGCAATTTATAGTTCGCCTGCAAGTAATATTTATTTTGTCAGTATACATAATAACATAATATATCGCCGTRAAACGAGTAAACGACCGTTGTCGAAAGTAGGCGCGAACGGAAACCGTAAAAAAAAATTGTGATTTTGAAAATTATGCAGATGAATATCAGACAGTCGCGGCCGCGTTGTGTGAACTGGTACATAGCTGCTGCTAGTCTGCCACTGCACCGGTCTCGTCCCCTGTAGGTATATTAATCGTCAGCCAAACTGGTCGTAATACCTATCATAATATTACTCTACATGACGAATGATAAGCTACGATGATGCGAATATCGAAATATTATATTTCATTAATAATAATATTATATTATAATATGCTATATGCACTGCAGCTGTTATTGCGCTCACGCAACATTTCTGTTGCAGTCAGAACTCTCGACTATCGTATATATAACAATAATCATTTACTGCGAATATAAATGTGGTTTAGCTGCCAATTGATCCTCTCACCGACGACGGCGGCCGCGTATTAATAATATAATATTAGCAGTGAAACCCGAAAAATATTAGGAAACCAATTATAGTAAATTAACCTACGTCGCGCGTCGTGTTTAGGACGTACCAGCGGATTTCTTTTTTATCCGTTGCGTCTCAAGAAAAGTTTTTTTTTATTTTGACTTATTTCTATCTTTTCTCTACTTCGAACGCTATAACGATTCACGTAACGATTCTTAAACAGCTACCACCTCAGCCCACTGTTTATATTACTGTGGAGTGTAGGTCGTCGGGTCGTGAGTAAATAAATAATTCAACGGCGATAACCTAAGTATTTACGTTACGAATATTATATTATACTATAATATATACGTACTGTATTATGATTACTATTATCCAAAGTACGAGAGAGTTACAGGATACACTAAA